GGTGTCATGTCATATGATCACGAGTCGAGTATCTCTTTAGTGGGAGATTCTAATCTAGACTTGGTGCGGGATACTGGATGCGAATTTTGGTGATGGGGTTTACTGTTGTTTGTTTTGATGTTAATTGTTATGTATGTGTTTTGTTGCTACTTTGATTTCCTGGGTATCAATATGGATTTTTCGGTGCGAGATGTGGTCTAAGAAATATGTGATGTCTTTTTGATTCTCCTTTTAATATGCCTACCCTTTCTGCCTTTCTGCTTCACTTTGGTTTGGTTTATCAATTTCACGCTGGGAAACACTCACGGGAACATCTCTCACATTGCTGGATACCAACTCCTATACACATAGTCATAGACGAAAGAAGATCGATTTTCATTCTGCTATTCTCAGACTTAATTCATACTGTTCTATAACTCATCTGAAATTTTGATACACCGAATTCAGTTCTACCTTTCTAATTCACATCAAGAACATTTGGAAGATTCTATCTCTTGAGTATTTATACAAACTCAAAAATATCTTTCCAAAAAAATTAGATCTCCAACATCAGAATCAAATATCACCTTATACACATGCCTCTACTTTCTCATTCTTACCACACGACGTCTTTCAAATGAATCAAATTCACAAGCTCGCAGTTGATGGAATAGCATCTTATCTCTTTCTCTCTTCCCATTCCTATGCGTCTCTTGTTCCTTTCCCTCCTTTCTTCCTCTTCCTTCTCCAATTTTTTCATTTCACTTTTCTCTCTGCTTTTCTCCTGCTGCTGCTATTCTCTTTTCTTACAAATTTTCCCTCTTCTTAGCTTTTTCAACATCCTCATCTTTATCCATGTATGAACCTTGATCGTCCCGATCGTAGTGAATAGCTTCAATTCACCTAGCCACTGTATTGCAAGCCCTAAGCGAAAGCGAAACAGACTAGCTCTTTCCGTAGCGTCTATATAAGGCCAGGACTTTGTATACATAGCTAGCTCTTTAGATAGAATACAATTAGACATTTAGGACCTCCGAATACGTGGGTGCTACGTCTTCCGTATCCTTCTCAAGCCAACAATCAAGTACTCTCAACTTCCCAGTATCTTCCAGTTTTCGTTCAACAATACTCCAGGATGTGGTCATTCTTATTTTAGAGTCTCCAGCCAAACATAAGTGTAGCATTCTATCCACATCTTCGTTAGAGATTCTCATTCTGGCTTCCCTGAAAAACAGGACACGTAAGAGGTAATTTTCAACTCCTCCATTCCTAAACCCTCCGCTTTTTTCTCAATGCCCTCCCCTCACTTTGTCTACGCCCTCAAATCTGGTCTACATATCTCGAACTTGAGACTGAGAATCAGCCCTCAGATCCGGCCCATACATCTTGAATCTAGGATCGAGAATATCCCGGAAAAAAAGTGCTCGATGTGATACGTCAAGATCAAGATCCATCATCACCACACACTGCCAAATCTTCTCCCTTGGTAGAAGCACACCTCGCATATCGAACAATTCATTACACATTGCTCTGCGAACCCCCTAATTTCCCATTCTGAATTTCGGATGGTATGAACTACCTACTCGTCTTTGCTCCAAGGCCCCGGTAACCCCCCGTTCTGAATTTCATATACCATGAAGCATCTATCCTATGGTCTTTTCCCAAAGCATTTTTACACTTTAATTATAAATTCTCATTATCTATATATACATATATGTATGTATGTATGTATGTATGTATGTATGTATGTATGTATTTATAAATTGAGAGTTTAAAGTTGAGAGTTTAGAGTTCAGAGTTGGGGATTTAGAGTCGGGAGCCAGGAGCCAGGAATCAGGAATCAGGAATCAGGAGTCAGGAGTCAGGAGTCAGAAGTAATCAATAATTTCCTCCCCTTGCCCTTCTCCTCTTCTCTCCCTTTGCCATCTCCCCCTCCCCCTTCCTCTCCCCTCATTCCGCAAATTAAGAAAATCCAAAATCCAAAATCAACTACCCACTAGGTATTCAAGATACAATAATAGGAAGTTGGAACTCGCCACCACCCATCTCATGACTCAACTCTTCTACCTTCTTCCCTAACTACCTAATACCTAATATCAGAAATTTAATTTCATCCTTCTAATCGAGTTGGAAACTGGGAATGGTTTCTAGTTTCATAGTCTTGTTATTCATGTGTTTCTTGTATTAATCTTATATATCTTGTCTACCTAGGAATTGAATTTCCTAGTTGGTTTATGAGCGGTTGTACTGGATTAGATGTATAGATCTGATTCTTTTGCTTTACAGTTGTAATTCGCATAAATTACGAGTACATTTATATCTCCTTTGACCATCTTGATTACATCCGCATTCTTATTCATATTCATATTCTTATTCTTATTTTTATTCTTATTTTTACTCTTATTTTTATTCCCTTTTTATTCCCTTTTTATTCCCTATACTCCTCCTTCTATTATTCTCAAAATCCATATACATCAGTTATCAAACTTTATATCTATAGATATATACACGCATACCTCTCAGCCTATAAACAAATAACAAGCAGCAAACCATCTAACCATCTATGCATTCATTCATTTTAACCTTCAACCATCCCCGAAAAATCTCAACATACACACAAAACCATATACTCACAAACCTCCTTTCCCAACTCCATCTACAAAATATAATACACATCTAATCGATTTCCCTACTACGTGCACGATCCTACTATATGTACGCTTTTTTATATCAAAATAAAAATAAATTTAAAATTTAAAAATCATTATAATAATATAAAATTCAATTCTATGATTAATTAATATTATTAATTTAGATTTATAAGAATTTCAAATTATTAAATTGAGAATTGATTGAATAATTGGATAAAGAGAATATAGAATTTTGATATATAATTTCTTAATAAATAATATATTATAATAGATTTTTAGAATTATAATAGATTTTTATAGATTTTTTGATATCAATAATATTATAAAAAAATCAAAAAAATCAAAAAAGTAAAAAGAATTAAATTTAATATGGATTCTTAGATTTTTTGAATTATTTATAATTATTTTGAGAAAGTTGAAAATATATTTTAAAATGAATTTAAATTTTATATCTAATATTGAAGATTTAAAAATTATATTTTTGGAAAAGGAATTATGTTAGATATTAAAATATATAAATTTTTAATTTATTAAGGGAAATTATTTAAAAAAATCTTTTATTTTTAAAATTTTATTTTTAAAATTATTTTAATTTTAATTTTAAAATAAAATTCTTTAGAAATAAGTTTTTTGTAATTCGAAATATTATTAATTTATTTTTTTAAAATAATTTTTTCAAATAAAAGTTGATTTAATGTTAATTAATAATCAAATTTTCAAAATTTAATTTTTTTATTAAATTAAGATTTAATCAATATAGTTTTATTCTTTAATAATTGATTAAAATCTTTATAATAAAAATGTTTTAAATTAAAATTTCTTAAAAAAACTAATAAATATTTATATTATATTTATTATTGAATTAAATCAAATTATTAATTATATTTATAAATCTTTATTTAGATGTAATATTAATGAATTATAGATTTTAATATATTTATATTTTTTTAAAGATTATTAATATTATATAACTTAAAAATGAAATAAAATATATTAAATTTATTATTTTACTAATAATTAATCTTTAAAATATTTTCTACAAAAAATATTAGAATTTAATATCAATATAATTTCAAATTTTTAATAAAAGCTTTAGTTTTTTTTTTCAAATATTTTATATTATAATATATATAGTTTTATAATTTCATTAAATAAAACTCATATTTTTAATTATATTATAAAATATATTAATAAATAAATATTTTTTTCTATAAAAATTCGATGTCTTATTTATTATTATTATTACTATAATTTTTGAGATTTTTAAATTTTTTATTTCAAAATATTAAACCAATTTAATTCAATTATTTCAAATTTAAATTTCAAATTATAATATTGCTTTTTTAATTTTTAATTCAATTTAATTCAATATTTTATATAAATAATAAAAACGTGCATATAGTAGGGAAATCGGTTACCTAACTTATAAATCCAATCCAATCCCAGCTCCCACAATTCTCCAAGCTTACAGATTAGATCAGATCTAAATTTCGCTTCTACTAATCAATTTTCAATTGTTTTCTATATGGATGGGAAAATTGTGATATGAGGGGAGAGTAAAACATTATTAAATACCTATTGAATAGATAGTCTCCTTTTGATAAACGAGTGAGTGTTGGGAATTGGGAATTGGAAATCGGAAATTCAGGAAAAGGATATGAAATAAAAATAACATAAGATGAGATGAGATGAGATAAAATGAGACGACCCGAGATAAGTCTGTATAATAAATTGCTAGACGATCGCACTTATTGGATGGGAGATAGGTATTTAATATATATACAGGAATAGTGACTCGAGAAGACGAAACGAAACGAAATGCTATAGATAGATGAACGCAGCAAGGGTAAGAAGAACAATATATGATATTACATGAGAAACATTGAGAGAGCAAGAATGACTACCACTTTGCTAAGACTTAAGGATTGGGTTTCAGTGGTACAGACAAATACCATCTGACTTCCTATCGAATTTTGCATCTTCCATAGGTATCAAACTTTGGTTTTCCATCCAAAGACTTAGGAGAGATAGCCGCACAGATCCTCTCAAGGCTGGAGCAATGCATATTGAATGTGTAGAGCTGAATACAAGCCTTATACAGATACGAGGACTTTGCTTCATGATATAATATATAATCAAAAAGAGTATGATATAGAGTTACTTTTACTCTGAGTGACTACTAGGTCTGCAGTAATCTATTTTCATTTGCAAGGCAAGAGGATTTCATCTTGTAAGTATGATTTTGAGAAGTCAACACACAATAAATGTATCTGCAATACACGGGTTGTAGCCCATCAATACTATATCCCACCAAAATACCAATGATACCACTCTCCCATCATCCCATTATCCCCCCTCTCCCCTCTCCCCTCACCTCTCCACCGCTCCCCCCTTCTCACTCCACTCCCCCCAACTCCCCTCAAACTCACCCACACTTCTCCACCCATTCCCCCTCGCAATCTGGGCCGCCGCTCTCGACCTCACCCCCGCCTTACAATAAAACACACATTCCTCTTCCTTCCCCGGTCTCTCAAAGCCAAACCGATCTTCAAATTCCTCTTCACTAATACTAAACGCATCCGGATGTGTCGTGATAGAAATATTTACCGCGCTGGGAATCCGTCCTGTTTGTTGGATTTCGAGGGGTGTGCGGACATCGATTATGTGGGTGTTGGGGTGGGGAGAGGAGGTGAGGGTTTGGATCTGAGGGAGAGAAAGAAAAACATTAGGTTAGTAAATCTGATTGGGAAGGAGTGAGGGAAAAGGAGGGAGAAGAACAAACATCTTCGAAAGTGTAGTATTTGGATTTCGTCTCTGATTCCTGCGAATACGATCGAATTTGTCTGGAAAGTTGAACCGACTCTCGATCAAAGAATCCCGCATTCATCAATCCACTATCTCGAACCCTCTTGTTAAAATTCCTGCAACTGCTCGTAGACAAATGTGACATAGTATAGCATCTTGCAGATGAAGCCCCAATGCGCGATTGGAACCCGCGGGCTAGAGTGCGCGATACTCTCGGGGTCGCCATAATCTCCTTTTTTTATTAGTTTCGAATCTGTGAAAGCAAATATGTATTCGACGCTGGATCTAGTTGACGACTGCAAGGGTATGGACGGTCGTGTTATGGAAAGACTTTCTTTCTTCCCTTCTATCGGAGGTGTGGTTTTGATGGTGGAATGGATGGAGGGATGAAATATTACCCTGGATTTGAGGTAAGTCGACCACCCTACTTTCAAGCCATCTCTATTTTGAGCCACCCTTTTATATCATAAATCGTTTTTTTAGCCTATTAATATCTTTATCAATATATAATCTAATTTAATAAAAATTTGAATATATATAATTTAAACTATTTTAAGCTTATTTTGAAATTTTGAAATTTTTAGGAATTTTCTGTATTGAAATTCAAACCTTTAAAATATCGATTTTTTAATTTGTATAAGAATTATATATAAATTTAAAACTTTTATAAAATCTTTAATAACTTTTTAGTAATAATTATTAAAAGAAAACTATATATCTTTTTGAAAGTTTTGAATTTAAATTTATATAGAAATTAAAAAAAATTTAAAAAAAAATTAATAGATATAGAGATATAGTATATAGTGAGTTTAGAGTAATATAAATAATTTCTGTAATTTTGAGGGTATTCTTTTAAATATTTATTTATAGGAATTTTTTTTTTTTGAATTCTTTAAAATAAATATATTATAAATTTATAAAAAAAATTTATAGTTTATTTTTAATAATTTTTATTAAAAAGTTATTAAAGATTTTATAAAAAATTTAAATTTATATATGATTTTTATATAAATTTAAAAATCGATATTTTGAAGTTTTAGATTTCAATATAAAAAAATCCTAAAAATCTAAAAACTTTAGATTAAATTCAAAACGATCTGAATTATATATATATAAATTTTCAATAAATTCTATTTATAAATAAAAGAATTAAAAATTCCATTTTTGGTGTAAAAAGTGGCTCAAAAGGAGAGTGGCCCGAAAGTAGGGTACCCGATTTACCGTCTAGCGATCCATGTTAGATTTCGTCATGTCATTGTCAAGACAAATAATTGAGAGCACATCAAAATTAAAAAAACAATGGGCATAGAAAAAAATCATAGGTTATGCTAAATCAAGATGTTTTCGCGAATTCTGATATCGTAAAGAATAATTTGATCTATTCAATAATCTACAAGGCGGCTCACCTGGAAGATCAAGTAGCCAAATCTCGTTCTCAAACGAGCTCACCAGGAGTTCACCAGGAACAACTTGCTATGCGAGAGCTTAAGCACCTGGATACCTTTACTTTCCAGAGGGACGATATCTTGGCAAGACACACAAATATATCAGTAAATCTTTCTAGGCAACCTAAATTCAGAGTTAGAATCTTAATTCTCGGATACTTTGAACGGCTGTTGCAGATCAAGTGTATAATGGATCCATGATAGAACGGAGTGTAGTACTTAAAGCGAAAGTCGAAACACGATGAACCAAACCACAGGTTAAAATGATATATTGTACATGATAATGGGTATCAATCTATTTGTTGGATTTTGAAATGACTTATACTCCTTAAAGATATTCCTCCCCCTTTAATTTGGGCCAGCCTTTACTCAGTATCTCCTCAACCCTTCATCATGAGGCAAAATATTCCTCACAATATCTCCAATTTAAAACAGCATCCTACTTGGATTGGCTTCCTTAGCAGGATCTTCCCCCTCCGGCTTCTTAGCAACCGGACTTCCATGGGCAAAGAACAACACCTTAATAGCAATTGCCAAACCTGCATGTAGAACAACCACCATGATAAGTAATATTTTACTTGTCTGTTTATCCGTAGCGCTGAGAACTGGATACAAATTCCTAAGAAGGAAAGCAACGCTCAACCCGAATCCAACTCCTACGAATACCCAATTCATGATTGTAAGGGATGACCAGGAGACCAATGCGACAGGAATCCATACGAGATTGGAGTAACCGTAAAGAGCAGCGCATTCGAGAAGATTGGCAGATTCGCTGCCAAAATATTTGAGGGCAAGGAAGAGAAGAATTGGAATTACGAATGTGTATCCATAGATTAGACCTGCGGCGCCTGCGGAAGAACCCAAGTTAGTATTATGTTCATTCTCTCTAACCATCGATGCACTTCAATTCCCACTCAAGGAAAAGAGAGAACCTACCGCTCAACAACCCAAAATCGTACGCAAATCTTCCTTCTCCTCTTTCCGCAAGATACAAACTAACCGTTCCTCCCATGAATAGAATAAAGATAACCGTCGTAGCAATCCAAAATGGACCATACAAATCCGGATTCCCCTCTAATACATCCAAGAAATTTGCACGAGGATATAAAGCTGCCCAACATCGTGCTAGAACGGAAGAAGTATCGACATCAAAGAACTGTGAGTAGAAATGTAGGGACCAGAGGTAACGTTTCGAGGTATTGGGACCACCTGCAGTCGCTGGAGCGGGGAGACCAGGCGATGTGGGCTTATTGCGGGATGAGGAGGGATTGTTTTCGAAATTGGAATTGTGGAAGGAGAGATCTTCTTGGAGATCAGTGTGGCCTAGATCGCCCTGGGTTTGTTAGTATGAGAAAATGGGTTTGGATTGAAGGGAGAAAAATGAGTCCTGGGGAAAGTAAATGATAAGCATACCTCCTCGTCCACATCGACGACGACATCATATCCAGCTCCCGACATTTTGTTTTGCTGCAACTAGAATAATTTGACGTTGCGAGGATTGTTGCGTGAGTGATGTTCTATGTTGTAGCTTGGGACAGCTTGCGAATCTGGAGATAGGCGCGCTAAGAGATGCAGGCGATATCATCCCTGCAAAACGAGTGTTCATTCCGCTGATTAGATGAGATATAGAAAGTTCAAAATGTTTTCTTACATAAGTATTCTTTGTTAATCGTATAACTATTCGAATTGGTACAAAGAGATCTCTTAATGTTATACTAGACAGGAATCACTTAGATATATTCATTCGGGTAACAATCAAATTGATCTAATAAATCTCTGGTGCTTTACAACATTACATCTTTCACAATAGCCACAGTGCTGAAAAGACTTGTGCTGATCCACCACGATAATAAGACTAGAAACTATTGTTATACCAGTATATCCACCCTTGAAGATGACCACCGATTGTTGTACTACCCTTGTTCCAATACGTACCCAGCGAATCATGATCCCACTCCGCTCAACTCTAATTAGGTTTCTGCTGGAAGGGAATTCGCCTACCAGGCAATAAATGCATCTCACTAGGTCATCTGGAGATTATGCTGGTAGGGAAGATTGTCAGAAAGTACCATTCGTCACAAAGTCATCGCTTGACGCAATACTGGACGGTATATAGGATAGATAGTTCGTTCCCGTGATGCAGCCATTTGTCCAAAGCAAGAAGTCCTTCAATATTGGCCCAAAGCCCACAATCGAACTAGAAAGGCAAATCAAATTAGTTCAGGCAGGCAGGCACATATCGACTTCAAATTCAACGGCACACGAAAGAGTGTTCTTGAAGATATTTGTAATTGGTGTGCTGAACAATCGTCTCATTGCTTCATTTGCCTCATGCTATTGTTCTCAAATACAGAGCCGGCCACGCAAAGAACCCATTGATACATCCGCGCACCAATCCTCCCTTCCACAATCTCCCTGTGAACCCAAACGCCATAGGAGCGAAACATTTACTTGAGCTTCTTCTTTGGGCGGAGTTGGTTGGTGTGTCCGCACTTCTTCTTTCTGCAGTTGGTAGCACGGGGAGGGAGACGGGCCTAAATTTGTTAATCAGTATGTCGTGACTTGATGGGAAAAATCGAAAAACGTACGTAGCATTTTCTGCAGATCATCTTCTCGCAGTTGAACTTGGAGGCAAGGGCCTTGAGAGATGGCTCAATAAGACCACCACGGAGGCGGAGGACCAAGTGGAGAGTGGATTCCTATGGGCAAAATAATGTCAATCAGCCAATTCCGATGCTTCCATCTCATTATCCCCTTTATGTACGTCCTCCAGCTCCAATAATTCCCAGAGATGTCCAAACTTGTCGATTCAATCCGGAGTGTGAGACAATCGTACCTTTTGGATGTTGTAGTCTGAGAGAGTACGTCCGTCCTCAAGTTGCTTTCCAGCGAAGATCAAACGTTGTTGATCGGGGGGAATTCCCTCCTTGTCTTGGATCTTGGCCTTAACATTGTCGATGGTGTCAGAGGACTCGACCTCAAGAGTGATGGTCTTGCCCGTAAGGGTCTTGACGAAGCTATCAATGTATCATCAGTTTCCTATCATATAAATCTGTGTATCGATGTCGCAAATAAATCCGAAAATCATGTTATCTCGTGGTAGGTGGCGGGTGGGATATCGGGGGTTCTTACATCTGCACTAAAATCGCAAACGAGGTCAGTAATTACTCGGAAGCATTTTAAATGACCGCAAGGGCTGTATATACTTACTGGTTGCTGAGGTTCTTCGATTTGTCGTACTTGTCGTGGAAATCTGAATTTCGAAGTCCCAACTCAAGTCGAATATTGCAAAGAATGTGGGTTGGGAAGCGAGAAAAACCCTAGCGCGTTGGATCACATGACATGACCAGGTGTCCACCCTCGAATTTGAGGCCGCCCGCTCATCAAACAGGTAGCCATCAGGGTGTGATAGAACGATGTTAGAAATTAATTGATCCTATTGATGTAAACATTATCGAGCCTGAAGCTTCCATTCAGTTATTTCTCTGGGTATCTATAATGAATCCTAAACACCAATGAACCTATTCGAAGCAAGATCGCACCCTTTCCCAATACATCCGAACCGGAAATATTACCTGAACCAGTCCTTCGAAAATTGCACACGAACTAATAAGGAACCCAATTGATTCATGCTCACTCTTTCGTGGGAGAATCAACGTCTCTATCATCGGATTCTTCCTCTTCGACGTCGTCATCTACCTCGACGCCATGTATCATCTCCTCCTGATGAGCGTTTTTCCCCTCACTCTCTTCCTGCTCTAACAATTCTTTCCTACGCTCATCTAACATCCATTTTTCCAATTGAATCTCAGTAGTAAAAACACCATGTACCAATTTCCCAATAGAAGTTCCAATATTTCTCGCTAAACCAGTCAACGAGAGCATGAAGACATCATCTAACAGGAACAACTTACCAGCAATCTCAAAAAAGGCCTTAGCACTTTCAGGTAACTCTTCAACTGTCCGATATCTTCTATACTTTTCACCAGGGCGAACAATATCTTGGGATTCTTCATCATCCACACAAGCTACTGGCTTTTGAAGGATTAATGTTTTGTGGACTTCTTTGGCCCGATTGATTGGATCTGGATCGACTATTGCCATTGTCGTCTCAGGTAGGATGTCCGGCAATGGAAAGAGCTCCAAAACTTGCTGAGGAACTGTTCAGAATCTTAGTGAAAACCATATTCAACCAATGTAGTATCTGCTCACCTTTCTGATCCCTATCATCGATCCAAGTCTTGTGATACCAACTCATCCAGTCGTCCATTTGTTCTCCAGTCATTTTGAAAACGTCTGCATCTGTGATTTTGATTTCATCTCCACGCTTCAAGCCTTCAGTCGGATTATCGAACATGATACTTTGCCATTTAGTCCAGTTGATTTTTGCGGCTGTGGCATCTAGATTGCTTTCTGGATGACGGTGTATGTCGTCGAATGGCTGGCTGAGTTTTGTGGCAATAACTATCAGACTGGTGAGTTGATATTCTGGATATCCAGTTGTTCCATGTAACCGCTTGTTGTGGATCGGGTATGAGAAATTGTATTCCAGAATCTCAGCAAGATGATTTACAGCCATGTAAATGTCAACTGAGAAAGGTTAGATTTAAAAAAGAACTCTGAATCTGAGGTTGGAAACACACCTGGAAGACCCAAATCTCTAACACTCTTGTATAGAAGTATTTTGTGGTTTATTGGGGGGAAAACCATTTCGAAATTGAAATTGAAGAATGAAATCATATCGAGTACTGTTTGATGAAGTCTATGCCCGTTCAAGATACCGTGGATCTCAAGTGCTCTGAAATAATGACCTGGTAATCGAGCTCTCATTTCCTTGGGGATTTCTTTAATCTGCATTCGTTTAGTAAATAGGGAACTATGTTTACGAACCTCACTTACCACTCGTGTATAGATAATCTCATCCCTAGTTGCCCATTTATATATTTCTCCTAAACTTGTAGGCAGTCGTAAAAGCAGTATTCCAAGGTAGCAGAACCCCAGAGTCTCAATTAATTTTGGAAGATTTTTCTTGGCCCTAGATGCCCTCTTCCTACTCATAACAGTCGAAGCCGTACTTCTATAACCTGTCCCATCCGTATCCGTGTCGTCTCCTTCCGTCGTTGACCCAAATTCGGTCCCATACTCACTTCTCTCGTCTCCCGAACCTTGTAAAACTCTCAATCTCAATTCCCACAAATCTCTCACGATAGTTTCTAATTCTTCTGGAAAGCCCTTCACTGTCACTAACCAGTGGGTTTGTTTCCAAAGGATCAATTGGTAACATTGTAAATAGAGTTGCGTGGCATCACGGCCCCCGAAAACTTTTTCCACCTGCTCTTTTTGCTCTCGCCGTTTTCTTGACTTCTTCCCTTGTTGGTTCCAGTCATCCTCATCTTGTTGAGTTTGTGTAAAACCCTAGACTGAGTTATTTTATGACCAATTTAGTTTGGAAACGTTTACAAACTGCTTGCTCATGACCTCGTTGACAAAACTTTTTACCATCTTCAATATAGAATTTTCGAGCGCGGCATCCTTCTTCACTACATGTCTCCCCTCTGCGAAATTTGTGATAATCAATCGCTGATGACATAGCTTATAGCAGAGATTAGCACTTTGAGAGTTTTTGAATCATGACTTCCAGTGGCATATTCAGTACATAAAATCGGGTTTCATTTTCCCGAAATCGTTTACGTGGAAAAATTGGCGCTAGAAGCGGGTGGACATAGCACTTCTACTTTTTTTTTAATGTACTACTAGTAGGTACTTCACTGGTGGAAATTGTAGATTTATGCGCCTCACATAAATTCTTGATAACTGGGAGATAATTTTTTATTTCGTGAAAACAAACTATGTAGCATGCCCGCTTGACTACGCCGGTCAAGGATATCATAAAACAGCATTCAGCTATGAAATTATGATACTGGGGAAGCTAGGAGAGATAAGATAACCAGTATGACCAAGTTTTCGTAGATCAAATCGCCCCAACGTAGACCATAAGAATGTAGATATCCGAAAGCATCATATTCCTCTGAATTTAAGGACCTTCGGGCGAACAGACATTCACGCAAAATAACCCATGCTATCGCGAAAATCTTGGGGATATTACTTTTCAGATGTTTAACCAGATTTTGGTGCCTCCTTTCCATCGATAGCGAGTTGCTCACCCATAGCAGTGAGGACAATAACGTCTGGAAGAAGGATTTGTCAGTGATATGTTGGAATTATCCCGAATATGCATTACTTACTGGTGTCCTTGTCGGAGTCGAAAAGACCACGGATCTTTTGGCCGACCTCTCCATCTGGCAACTTAACATCCTCCTTGAGATCACCTCCCTCAGACATCAAGGAGAGGAAATCATCATCAGTGATGTTGAGCTTCAAAGATTCGTTAGCGAACGCGCCCAACGATTGACCGTGTGATTATATTCTTACCAATTGGTACTCGACACGGGAAACGT